TTTTTTTTCTGTTTGTTTTTGGTTTTTTTTGTTTGGTTGTTTTCTTTTGGTTTGTTTTGTTTCGAGACTCAGATTTCCTAAATCCCAATTCAGTTTAAAAATAGCCTTTCGGAGGATTTCAGCACCCTCGCCATCGCGGGTTCTGTGCTGGGGTACGCGCCTGCAGGGGACCATCACTCGCACGGCAGCATCGGTGTCAGCAGCGGGTACCGCTGGTGGGATTCCGCTGCTGTGAGAAAGTGCTGCTAGAGCAAAGCAAATCGAACCCTGTCTCCTGTACTCCCGTATTGCCTCACAGACACGGCAGTGCCGATGTTAAAAGTCAGACTTCGGATTTAGATTTTATCCGAGAAGAAATTCGCACCCTGCAGCTCTGTTTGGCACGTGGCGTTTAGTGTCTGGAAATAGGTTTTTGATCTTAGAGCAGCACTGTGCAAAGTTTTTACTGCAATGAACAGGTCATGCTCAGCTTCATATCAATAGATGTCTCAACCAATTTCATATGTTAACCAGCTTATGGTCAAAATCTTATAAATAGAGTCCTATTAGGAAAAATCTCAACAACTCATGCAGGGTTACATAGTTGAAAACTCACAACATTCTGTCACTGTGACTAGAATGCAAGGTACCTTTAACTATAAAACCCCCAACATTCTACAGCTCTGCAGTAGCGTGGCAAGCAATGTCAGACAAGGTAATTTTGCTTGAAGAGCTCCAGTTTAAATGAAAACTAGATTGAGCAAAATCTCAAATACAATCTTCCAGATGCTCTGTGGAGCTAAATCAGTATAATCTAGAAGGGCTGTGACAGTTCACCTAGGTTGAAGACCTTCGCAAACAGGTTTGTTCTTTCACTCATTATAGAGCAGAAAGAATTCATAATGCTGAGAGGAGAATTCCTGTGATGGTTATACCACAGTAAAATAAATCGAAACCAAAACAATACCCCCCCACACTGAGAAAAAAACAACAACCTCCCCCAACAAAATACCTCCAAGCAAACAAAAAAACCACCCTAGAGATAAAAAAACTGTTTATAAAAAAAGGATGAAAGGAGAAGGTAGAAGGAGAAGAAGGAAGAAAAGCCTTCATAGAATTTTCCCCTGTTCTTAAAAACAATAATCAGCAATGAGTACAGCAAGGAAATGTCATCAGACTGGAGCCTCTCATATCTGTTCAGCATTAAAACACTACCACAGAATGCAGGTAGAATTCATCTGATCGGTCAAGATCATTTTAATATGTAGCTATTTAAATTCAATATTCAGTCTTCTCTTCAAAAAGAAACTGAGGACTCTCACAATGAATTTAGAGTCTACAGAACTAAACTTTAAAATAAATATGGAGTCCACACCGCAACCTTCTAGGTTTTTTCATTTAGTCTGACAGTGTGATTTGATGCAATAAAGATATGATTACCCCATGAAACATGTTAATGCCATATATATGGGAAGGAAGAGCAGCAGGAAAAGTCTGTGGTTTCTGACTGAAGGAATTTTCCTGTTGTGGGGGAGGGTGACCGAGTAGAAATTTTGACCCTAGTCCTGCAATTGGATCCATCAAGCCTGACCTCTGTGCTATTGCAGTGCTTGCTGGAGTCAGCAGAACTACGTGCTAAGTGCAGGGATCTGTCCATGTGGAACTAACTGGGGATTTGGGACCTTCCAGTTTCCTGCTGTGGAGGGAGGATGAGTTCACCTCCGCGTAAATTCTGGAAGAGGAGTAAGAGACTTCCATAAGAGAAACTTGCATTTATTTTTAGATCTTCTGTTCTCTCACTCAATCCCATAGAGATCATACTGAAAACAGCATGCCTCCCTTTCTCCAACCACACGTGCCTACCTGCTAACTCCAGCCATTGCTGCTGAAAACCAGCACGCCCCATATTTCTCTAGTGAGAAAAACCCCGCACATAGTTTGTAGTCACTGTTTCGTAGTTGCTGCCTCAGTTGCTAATCCAGCTTTGAGTCAGTTTACATTTCGTGACTCAAATATAACCTCTGTCAGCGTCTGTCCACAACTGTGGAGTGCAGTGGTTGGCTTTTGTCCCTCCAAAAATGCTTTATTTCTTGGCAACCTCTATGTATACAGGACAAGGAGGTTAGTGTGCACCTGCAGCTCCATGCAACTGGACAATGTTCTGAATGCACCACTCCACCCAGAGCCTAGGGAGGCTGCATGGAAACTCCATGACTTCAACCTGTCAGATACATCCGGTTGGTATGCAGCTGTCAGTGCTCAAGTGCCAAGCTTCTCCAGCCTTTAGGAATGAGATCAATCACAGATGAAATCTGGCAAGAGCTGAGAAAGCTGCGTTGACAAGTAAGAGAAAGTTGATCCATTCCATAATGGGCACCTGCTTTTGGCTGTGCTAGGCCAGGCCTGGAGACTGACCCACAGGCCCAACAGCAGTGCACCACTTGGTTACTTTGGATGACCATTTGGTGACCATTACCTCTAGAGCATTTTGTGTGATGTCCACTCCCGTAAGTGAGGTCTGAGAACAGCTTTTGGGTTGAGCCCTTTGAGGTAGACAGGCAAACCTGACAGGATTCTGCATAGGGAAATACTGGCTTGTCCAGCTGTGTCATGGCACTTCTAGGCACAGAGTGTGGAAATACAAAATAAAAACATAGAGACTCACAGCAATCTCATTGCTCTGGGGTTTAAACAGTCCCTGAGCAAAGTTTTTTTGGACCTTCATTCTGGATTGCAAAATTTCAGAGCTTATATGTCACATTCTTTGATAGATGCAGCTGTAAATACACTTCAGAGGATCACAGAATATTCTGAGTTGGAAGGGACCCACAAGTATCATCAGGTCCAACACTTGAATGAAAGGTCCATTTAGGGATCCAACCCACAGCCTTGGTATTCATCAGCACTGTGCTCTAACCAACTGAGCTAATACATTGTTGTGGATACAATGCCTGGAACCATGTTGATCTTGAAAACTGAACTTGCACAAGAAAGTTCACTGCGGCCCATAGTTGCCTGAATGCTCTGGGGAAACCTACAGACTGAGTTGTGTGCTCTACCACAGAGTGAGGGTGCAGCAGGTAGAAGCTGTGATTGTCAAAGTCCTTAACAGTGGTAGGACCACACACCCCTGTCGAGGCTTCAGAAAGGTGCCATTTTCTTTAGAGACATTAACCTAGCAGTTATTATTTGGACTTCTGGTGGGAGACAGTGCTTTGCATCCCAGCAGGTGGAGAAGGGAACTGAATTTGACGCATGCAAGATCTCTTAGAGATCTGTGTAAAGTGGGCAGAAGTCATTATTTGTATTTTCTCTGTTCTGAGATGTTCTGGTTTAAGCAGGGTGCCCCAAAAATGCCTACAGGACTGAGCTGTGCTACAGGACTGGGTTGTGCAGATAAACCAAGCAGAGGGAGTCTAATCTGTAGACTGGACTTATTAATGAGTAAGTTAGTCTAAAGAATCAGACAGAATTAAGATATAATATGCACTTTCATGGATCAGACACTTGAGCACTTTTGAAGTTTCCCAAGCAATCAAGAGTAAAAATATATCAAGAATAAGTCAAATGTTTTCCAGTGATGCTGAATGTCCAGGAGCAATCAAGCTTCTTACTGGGGAGGCCTAATAGGGACTTAGATCCCTGAGTTTAATAGCTTTGCGATTAATAGTTTTGCTATTAAATAATTAATAGCTCTGCTATTAAACTGCATCACAAAGGGCTAATGAATTTTGACAGAGAAAAAGAAGGGATTGGATAAATATCTTCAGTGATACTGAACTGTGTATCAATACCAAGATCTTGCTCACACTTGCTTATCACACAAGTGCTTAAAGAAAAGATTTTCTGGGATTCATGTTGGCATTTCTTAGAATTGTCATCTGTTGCCCATGGTGATTTCATGAAGACAGTGGGTATATTTCCTCATAAGGTGGAGGTGACAAGTTATTACAGTCTTCCCCCAGTTCTTCTGGCTCATCAGAACTGCCCTCTGACCTGAAAAGAGGAAGAGGAGCAGATGCAAAAAGAATTTACCAAACACAAAGCATACAAGTAACCTCAGTGCTTCATCCTGATAGCCTTATCTGGGTGAAGTACTTCCTGGCTTCTTGAGAAAATGCTATGAGATGAAGTTTTACTGAGATTCTGCTGTTTGCTCTGTTCTTTTTGTGAAGTATAAACATGCCAGGAGGTGACCTTTGTCTTCATCCTGCCTATGCCTGTCACTAGGTTGCTGAGGATGAGGCAGTCAGCAGTTTTTCAAACAGGCTTTGATAAATGAACTAACAGTGACTCGTGTTCTAGGAAGGATATAATTCTGAGCAATTCCTGTAATCAGAATATTTTTCCTTAGAGGAAAGAATTATATAAAATTATTTTGTGTACCATTTAAGAAGTTTCATACTGCTGTGTAATATTAGTGATCTGGTTTATGCCTCAAATCTAGTAAAAGAGTAAGAGCTGGAAGGTTTCTACAGTAGGAAAGGAGCATGTTGTCACCAGGCATATTCAGGAGGGAGAGCATCTGGTACCAGACTGATTACTGCATTGTTGCAGAAATGCTCTTTGCGTGCTGACTCATGTGTTTGATTGCGTTTGAGTGGAAGCCTCTGGCTGTACATACAAAAACCTAAAGGTAGTAAGATAAGCGTTAAAAAACCTCCACAGACAGGAGCATATATAGTATCAGCATATACTAGTATCTTCAAAAATAACAAGAGATTTAGTAGAAAATTGAAAGGCATTTATAAGTGAATTTAAATTAGACAAAAATACTTTTGAGAAAAGTGTGCCTCCTTACTCTTTACTTGTGAAGAATTTCTAACAAAGACAAAAAAAGTCTGAGAAAGGAAAATACCCCAGACTAGCTCTCGTTTCCTATGAAACCACACATAGTACTTAAAATACTCAGAAGCCTGTGTCCAAACACGCTAAGGCATTTCAGAAGATGTACCTGTGATTCCTGGTATTCTCTGCAGGATAAGTGGTGTAGTTCTCATCTCTAGTAAAAGCCAGGTTATCCGGAGGGTAAGCAGGGTAGAAGTGAGGAGAGCCTGGGGTGGGAACTGGAGAGGCACTGGAGGAAACAGCACTGCAGCAGCTAAGCACTGGGTGAAGGTAGCTGGGACTCACAGGAATGCCTTCCTGGGATGGGTACGGTGGAGGGATGTACTGTACCACTGTGGCACCATGAAAAGTTATAGGCTGGTTAATGCCGGTGAAGACAAAGGACTGTCCGCTTGCAGTCTGGTCGAGGTCTGACACATTTTCCTCTCTTTCTTTACAGGGCTTGCATGTGAGCATGTTAAATTTGCAAACAGCGATCAGAATAAAAGTCACCCCAACAGAGAGCAGAATAGGTCCTAGTAACTGAGTCCATTCCAGGTGAGTAATGCCATCGTATTTTATCCATCCCATCACGGTGAAAGTGATCCCCACCAGTCCCAAAAACACACCTGAAAAGAGTAGAGTGGTGCCAGCTTTATCCCCGTCTGACACCACGGCATCAGATCTGTTGGTCTGACAAGGAGTAACAGAAAAGACATTCAAGGAGAAATCTTCTACACTGTTGTTGTTTTGCTCCATTACTGAGTATAATGTATCTTCTGCCTCAAGAGAAAGGGGCCTTGTAAGGGACTTGGTAGAGCATTTAAAGTCTAAGGTTCAGGTTAGTTATACAAGAACTTTGTGTGTGTATGGTTAACAGAATCCATCATGTGAAAAAATAAACTTTGCTTAGGAGAATAAAGGTCTGGGAAGTGAAGTCTGAAGCCATTGCTAAAAATTTCTTGAATTACCACTATCACTTCCGAAATGGTTTCACCCTTGAATGGCTGCTTATCTCTTTGTTTATCCTCTAATTTAGCACCTGTGATACTTACTGTGCCCACGCTGGATGGGAGAAAAGGGAAAACAGAACTATTGCAGCTTTTCCTAGGCCCCAGCTAGCTGATGCATCCAACATATGGACAGCAGCTGTTTAGTCAACAGCAGTGTGGCAATTCTGACTCTCCACTTCCAGCTCCATTTTCTGCAGGAGAACGCATGGCCATTGCCAGGAATGCTTTGCTGTGCTCTGAAACGTGACATTTATAGCTGTGCTGGACCTCTTTTGCAGCTGGTTCTGCAGTCCAGAGCTTCCACGGTTTAAAAAAATATCAAAGTAGCCTTTCTGATATTTTGCTGGGGCAACCACCGGGGCGGGGCGGGAGGGTAAGCAGCAACAGGGTGATGAGCACTGAAAAACCTGGAAGAGCTGCTGGTTATGGGAGAAATGTTATTTCAAGCCAACCAAAGCTTTCCAGCTGCTTGAAGGTAGCGTAACTGCCCTGTAATTTCCCCTTAATTGTGGACGTTTTTGGTTGTGGGATCTCCACCCCTTCCTCAGAGTTTATACAGATTAATGCCTACATACCCTGAGTAGCACATCACTGCAGGAATGGGAAAACATCTCCTGTAATGCTAAACCTGGTAGAGCAAGGGATCTTACCCTGTACTCAGAAGTACCTCGAATACTTTTCCCCATCACAATGAATTGTTCTGCTGAATTTATGTGCCATATATTAAGCAGGAAGATTAACTGAATTTTGGGATTTTCTGTTTCCTAAGAGTTTCAGACCAAAGTAATTGTTGTTGGAGGGTTATGGTAGAATGTCTTTGTACAATTCCTTAAGGAAGAAAATCTCCAACAACTTGATCTGTTTGAGTAGCATGGCAGAGGACTATACACAGGACATTGATTACTACTCAGGCAGTAGAACCCATAATACTATTTCCTGCTACCAGCAGCTCTGGGGAAGCAAGCTTATCCTGAGATTTTTAAGATAAAAATAGCTCTAGAACTAGAAAATTGACCTTTCAGCCCGCTTCTTCAAAGTCAGTAAAGGCGCCTTTAGTCTACTGTGCATTCATATCACAGAGTGTGACAACAGCTCTCTTCTGAAAGAGGCTGCCCACCAAATTTGGCACCTTTAGAACTGAACCCCATTGCTGAATGCAATTAAGATGTGTCTTTCTCATTTGTTAGCAGATAGACCCTGAGGAATATTAGTGCTGGATTCCTTCAGAAAACATCTGTGAAGTTACCAAAGTCAATAGTATGTCTCATCCACTATCCAGGGTGCCAGCAAATTTTTTGACAAATACACTCAAGACCAGCTTTTCCCACAGTACCAAGTCCAGTCAGGATTCTCTGCACCTCTTAAGGAGCAAAGAGTTCAGGTTTGCAATGCAGTGGTTTCATATGATAACTAAATTAGAAAGTGCTGAAATACTAGATAATCTGTCCTTGTATTGGTAATTATAGCCAAAATTTAAGCAATCTTTAAACTTATGTTTGTTAAACTTAATGGAATGAACTTCTGTGATTGCTCTTTGAAAATCAGGTTCTTCCATACCATGAATCATTCTTACCACTGTTGAATCTTCCAGGTTTTCCAACAACCTTTTAAAAGCAGCACTATATTATATTATAATGGCTCTCTTACTAATAGTATATACAGATGTATTGTCACCTTTTTCCTCTCATTCATTCAAGAACTCTGCAACTGCTATTTGCAATGGATTGTGCTGAAGAACTTCCTCAATCCCAAGCAATTGTCCTTAGATGCTGTTTGGAATCAGAATTTTCCAGGTTGGGTGTTGCATCACCCCTCACCTCTCTCTTTGCCTCTGGTCTAGGACGACTTCATGATTGTTGAGCAAGTGCACAGTAGAGATGGAGAATACAGGTTTCTTTTTTTTCTTTCCCAGGCTACTTGCCACTGGAACTTTGAAAATAGGATGGAAAACACTTTCCATTTGGTGCAGTAGAATCTAACCCGAGATTAGCTCAGTTGCTTATAGCATGGTGCTAATAACACCAAGGTTGTGTGTTTGATCCCTGTATGGGCCATTCACTTAAGAATTGGACTCAATAATCCTTGTGGGTCCCTTCCAATTCAGAATATTCTGTGAAATTTCTGTGAAACTTACATTAAAATTACTTTCTCTATAAACTGCCCTCTCTTTGTAAGAGATAGTTTCCTCTAAGCCTTCTCTGATTATTTCCCCAGACAATGCTAATGCTGCATTTAGGTAGCTGTCAAGGTCTTAAGAGATTACTGGATCACACTGATTTTTTTAAGGCCAGTACTTCTCTTTGCCAGTAAGTGTGTGTTCTGGGAACTCATTTAAAGGTGCTGATTTACTATATGCATTCCCTTTTACCTTGAATAACTCCTAAGCAAAACGGTTTTGTGGAACCTAGGAAATTGGTCAGAGTGAGGTTTTTCAGAATGAGTGCTGTTTTCAGATCTCACTACAGTTTTGTTCTTATCTGCTTCAGACCTTACCCCTCAACACATGCACTGCTTTGCCTTCTGTTCTTCTATGTAATTTTCTATCACCAATGCAGACTTCTCCTGCAGTGTTTGCTGCTGGAAGCAGGTGCTCTGCATGTCCTCAGTTCTCCAACCTGTTTCAAGAGCCACCCCAGTAAAGACTCACAGCCCCTCACTTAACTCTTTTCTTCTCTCCTTCTGTTACTTATTTTTACACAGTTGTACATGTTATCAGCCTGTTGCAGTAAGGTTTTATTTTCTCACACGCCTGTAACGTAGGCAGGGACTTAGTCAAAGAACAGGCAAATGAAGCCACATAACACGTGGTATTGCACACCGACTGGCTTTAAAAATGAGCAGGTGCAAATCATCACTCCATAATGAAACATTCAATTGCAGGGAGATTTAGCCAATGACTTGACTTAGTAAGACTTTTTCCTAGAGAAAGGCAACTGCATATGGTATCCTTAGTGGAAAATACAAATAATATGTGTAAGGCCAGCATATGAAGAACCACCACAAGTGGGCCTTGCACTCCAGGGCTTTGAACTACTGCACTGCCAGCACCAAAGCAAAAACAAATTGAGAGGAGCAGGTTCAGCCAGCTGCCCACAACTATGTTTACCTGCAAGGTAGTTTTATGTGCTCCAGGGAAATCTTGTTGGCAGGCACACCAAATTGAAAGTATTTCCATACTTAACTATTCAGATATATGCATGTGTGATAGAGGGAGAGCACTGATCTAGATGAAGTCTGGCACATTCACTGCAGAATTGTGGAGGGATTGGACTTAGAAGTCATGACTCTGAAGAGATAGGACGGAAAAGGGATAAATGGATATAGCAACAGAAAGGGCAAGGGTGGAGTGGGTGCAATCCAGGGAGTGTCATTGTCCTAAAAACACAGCAACATTACAAAGATCTGTGCAACCTCAGTTTTTCAGATGAGTTAAGTGTTCATTTTTTTCAGTTGCTGGTGATTCAGGAAGAAAGACTCCTAGAGAAAAGGCATTAATTATATTTTTGTGAATCCTTCTCATATTCAAAGGATTGCAGTGCTGCAGTTAGAAGCAGAGCAATGTCAGTGCTGGCAGCAAGAGAGACCTTAACTTCACTCAGAAAGGATAAGCAACTCTTACCTCCCACTTTGCTTGTTTAAGTAAGTGTGAATCAGTAACCAACTTGATTTGCTCCCTAGCATTTGTATGTCAAACACTTCAGCTAACCTTAGGACAGAAAGAGGGTTATAGCACCATTAGTGTGACAGTAAAGTATCTCATTTCCTCAATAAAAAGGCTATTCCATATTATTTTAAGCTACTTTTATAATTTTACAAGGAGTTGCTTCCTTTCTAATATAGACATTTCACTCCTACTCCCCACATCAAAAATTCCTCCCTCTAATGCTGTTCACCCAGTGGTAGTCTTCAGTGCTGAAGGCAGATCTGCTTAGCCCCTTACTCACATTTTCTGACCTTGCTGCAAGATTTCAAAAACACAGTAGGCAAATACTGTTGCACTGGCTATGTTAACTCCCTCAGTGCTGAGCACTTTATGGAGATGCACCCAGCACATCCTCTGAGTGTTCAAGTAATGATTCTTCAAGTCAAAAGTAGAAGATGCTTATACAGCTACACACTGAACTATTTCCTAAGCATCTTCTCAAAATTATACAGAAAGAAATTCAGTTTTCAATCATTGTTCTCAGAGGTAACACCTAGCCTTCACAGGAAACTCAGGTGCTGAGTCTGAAGTCAGGTCAGCAGCTTTCTAAACCGTGCTTTCTGTGAAGACTGCTTTTTTAGAAATAATGTGATCCACACTGAAGACTCTGCAGTAGATGATCAAAACACAATGATCTTGAAGAAAAACAAGATCATGTCACTTTTACAGAGGACTCAGCTGAGTCAACATATACTACTTGATTTGACTGGTCTCTCGGGTGCATCTTGGGAACAACCAACTCAGCAGGTTGCAGGCAGCAAAAAAGGTTAATACTTTTTCAGTTAGCAACCAGATGCAACTGTATTTTTTTTTAAAGATGGTGACATATTTCAAGATTTGTTTAAACACTTTTTTGATGGTAAGCCTTTTGAGAAAATGAGTGCTCCAGACAACAGCACAAACCCAACATAGCTCTTGGTTGCATGATATCTTTCAGGTAAAATATCCCAGCTTCTGTCCTTGTTATAGAATAGCATGAGAAATCCAGAGATACACAGGCTCCTTCGACATGTTCAAGGCTTTGTATGCACACATCATGCACAGCAGTGGGCATCACTGTTAAAACAGGTCAAACAAAAGCTAAAAACAGAATAATCAAAAAGATGGCAAACCATAGCTTGTATTGCAGATGGCATATAAGGAGCAGCATCCTTGAAAAACTCACTAGGTAAGAAACATTGGAGAGTAAAGAGGACAATATGCCTACTGGCTTTTTTGGATTCCCTTTTTTCATACAGACTTTTCCCATGGCTGAGTCATGCCAGTTTAATCAGCTCCCACATACAAAATCCCTCTTTGTGCTGTGTTTGCTCATTACTTTGCGTGCATAAGCCCCTCAGCTCTATTGCTGGCTAAATATACCTCTTGCTGGCTGGTTTGTTTTTGTGTGGCTACACAAAGAGCTGCTCTAGCATGACTGAGTGAACAACACAGAGTTGGAAAAGGCAAATGCAGGAGCTCCTGAACATCTCTCTAAAGCACTCAGCAGGTGAGGGGCATGTTCATAGAAGGATGACACAAGGTGGGCACAGGAGGGAATTCGAATGCTTAATTCATAGTTTGGCATTCTGTTACAGCCAGATTCAGCAAGGTAGAATACAAGTTTGAGGTGTAGGTGAGGTCCCAAAGCACACAGGTGTTCAGAGACTCAGCTGAACAATACAGACATCACTCTTGAGAGATGTTTTAATGATGGCAAGTTCATCATTCTGAACCGAGCCTAAAGATTAGCTTTGCCACTTCTTTTTCTGGGCACAGAATCATGTCTGTTTTTCTCAAACAGGGTTCAGAGCAAGTTGTAAAATGTCAAAGATTACCTGCTACAAGCAAACCCTTCTGCTCAGGAAGAGGTGCAAGCAACCACAATATAGAACTAGAACCTCCAGCTGGAGGACAGGCTGCTACCACTAACCTAAGGGCTGCAGAGGGATGGAGAAGCAAAGAGGGTTGTATTTCTGAAGGGTCTGTCAAGTGCTGTGTTGGTTAAAAACATCTGTTGCATGTGTTTCCACGAAACTGCCTCTCCTGCATTTGCTGATAAGTAATGTCTGCACCTGAAAGATACCATTGCTTTGTGGCTCTCACTCTCACACAAGCACAGCACTCCCTGTATAAACCATGAATAATGATAAAAAACTGCAGTATAATCCCCCTGAAATCAGTCATTACCACAGTTAAACTGTTAGCCTATTAACTATCCTCAGGGTTGCCTTTGGGCTCTTAACTGTAGCTAAAACTGATTTTCACAGGGATTATACTTACATAAGGACCAGAGACAGTCTAAATAAAGCTATGGAGTGTTTGTTACCAGGCAGAACAAAATGTAACCATTTAAGTTCTTCACAGCATCTCTGGTACCAAGCTTAAACAGCCTTATTTGCGAATGGTCTCAGAATACTTACAAAGTCAATAACTTCGCAAACCACTATTTTCCACAAAAGTCATGCAAAAATAGAAATGAAAACACTCTAATTATTTCTCTTTTTTGAAGCTCCAAACAGATTTAATTAAAATAATCAAAAAAGTTGGTCTCTACTTAACGCCTTCATTATAAAAAGAACAATTAAAAATAGAAACTGAAGCTGTAACAGAACCAGATGATTGTTTAACATTCCTGCAGTGAACTCCCTTCAGACTACTTTAGCAGAAGCCTAGCATTATCTGTTATTTCTTGAAATCCAAATTCATTGTTCTTCCTGATGAAAGATTAGACACAACCAACATTATTGCTTTTATTACAAAATGTAAATAAATTCAAAAATTGTAAATCTCTGTGTACAATTTAATTTAAAAATTAAGTCAACTGACAGTCTTCTATGAGCTGATGTCAGATGTGGCTAAGGAAATAGATGAAAAAGATGAGGAAGAAGATGGTGAATATTCATTATTTGTTATTGATGCTTTTTCTTCATATTTTGGAGGAGATTCAGAGCAGAGGTATAGCATTGGTAAAATATCTGAAGGTGAGCTGCTTCCAGAAATTGTACATATGGTTTCGTAGTCTCTAACAGCAACCATTCTTTCATCATCTGCAAGCTGTGCTCTATAAAACACAAAACTGTGTATTAGCATAATTCATTTATCTACAGAGAGTGAAATTCTACTTGACTTACATAAACATACATGTATGCACACACTTCCTAAAAATCCCTGAAGCAAAGAACTTGCACAAGAATTAGGAGTTCATTCGGTGGGCTACATTATGACTCATATGAAAATTCTATTATTTCTGAGGGGAAGGGCAAAACAAGCTCCCTTCTAACCTCTCAAATCACCAGTCACAGCCTGGCTTATGGGCATTAGCTGCTTTTGGCAGTGCTGTCTCACAATCTTATTAAATCTCCTTCTGATCCATAGCTCCTAAAGTATTTTCCCTTTTGTAGTATATCACATACACACTGTCCCCTTCCCTTATGAAAGACAGTTACTAGACTTAGAACTGCATCACAAAAATCACAATCCTGAGCCATTTGAAATCTTGCATGAAAGGCCATCCGAAACTTTTACTAGGCATTCCAGCAATCCATGACAGACATAAGGAGTCATATTCCTGCTCAGAGCTGGAGAAACAGAAGCAACCAGACATCACCAGATTGCAAAGTTCCCAGTGACATTCAAGGCAGGCAGCCAAGTATTCACTGTCCTCTTCTGACGATCACAACTGAATCCAAACTGGTTGAACCCACATTGTTCTGATACCCTGCTCATCTTGCCCTCAGCACATTGCTTCAGCTGCTTTCCAAGGAAAGAGAACTCCTCTCTCCTCATGCCTCACTCCCAGAGCTGACGCTTGCCTTTGTGCATACATCTGTACCAATACTGAGTGAGGAGCCAGAATACAGGGCATAGTCACCTCGTCTTCAGTGCTGTGACGAATCGGTGAGCGTGCGTGTTTAACAGAGAGAGAAATACTAAAAGACAAATGCCGAGGTGCTATGTAACAGATTGCAGGAATAAAAAAAAATAATTCAGGGATCAGACCATGACTCAGCTTACTACAAGCTTTCTCATCCAGCACAGCCTTCACCACAGCACTTGCTGACAGAACACCAAGCAATGGACTGAAGAGGCGAATCACCTTTTTCCTAGTAGCCATCCATATATGAAATATATATGAAATACTATACCCTGCCATATTTGGGATCTTCAATCATGGCACTATGTTATGAGCAATGAGGTCATTGCTTCTCTTCTATTAAAGCACTTGGGAAACAATTTGCATTATTCAAGATGCCCTGTCTGCCAGCAAGTGCTGAGCCATGACAGAGCAGGATTGAGTGAAAAACCCAGAAGTGGTATCAACTCAGAGGGTCTCTGTGAGGACACTAGGGAACATGGAAGGGCAACAGCTAGAGCACCCCCAGTCACAGAACACCAAAGCAGGAGGTCAGAGATTCTGGGTTTCTGCATCCAGTGTTGAGGTGCTTTATGCACTCCACTAGACACTGTCTCAACAAACTGCCTCTTTGTGTATATATGCTCACAAGACAGAGAAGTCCAGACAGGCAATCAACAATGCTGACTGGATCACACAAAGTTCAGAGCACCAAAACTGAACATTTCTGTGTTGAGACAGTTGATCCAGCTGGAGAGGATTTTGTAGAATTGATGAAGGAAAGAGGGGTTGACTGGTATGTCAGCTCTTTTTGCTGCTCTGTGCACCAGCAGGGAGGGCTCAGAAAAAGTCTGAAGAACTAGATTTTTTGCCATTCTCTCACCACCCTTTGTTTGACTTTTTCCAGTGCAGGATGCGCTCTTTGAGTTCTTTCACACCCTTTGATAATCCCTTTCCAAGCAACACCACAGAAAAGGACTGTGTGGCCAACCTTGTGGGGGCATCAGGCAAAGCATCGCCAGTCGGTCGAGGGAGGGGATTGTCCCGCTCTGCTCTGCACTGGGGTAGTCTCGCCTTGACTGCTGTGTGCAGTTTTGGGCACCACAATATAAGAAAGATATTGAGCTCTTAGAGAGTGTCCAAAGGAGGGCAACAAAGATGGTGAAGGGCCTTGAGGGGAAGCTGTATGAGGAGCGGCTGAGGGCACTTGGTCAGTTCAGCCTGGAGAAAAGGAGACTGAGGGGAGACATCATTGCAGTCTACAACTTCCTTGTGAGAGGAAGAGGAGGGGCAGGCACTGATCTCTTCTCTGTGGTGACCAGTGACAGGACCAGAGGCCTGAAGTTGTGTCAGGGGAGGTTTAGGCTGAGTATAAGGAAAAGGTTTTCACCCTGGAACAGACTCACCAGGGAAGCAGTCACAGCACCAAGCCTGTCTGAGTTCAAGAAGCATTTGGACAACACTCTCAGACACATTATGTGATTCTTGAGGCTGTCCTGGGCAGGGCCAGGAGCTAGACTCAATGATCCTTGCTGGTCCCTTCCAACTCAGGATATACTAGGACGCTATGAATCTTGCACATTTTATCAAGCACATGGCAGGCAGCCCACATCTGAACTCAGAGCCTGAAACTGCAGGATAGAGAGAACTTGTGGCTCTGCACTGTACTTTTTCAGACAGGTGGTACAAAAGTCACCCTCTCAGTTGCTTGAAACTCCACAGCAGGTCCAGGTTCACAGTCAGGACAAGTAATTTCTTCACACACATTCATTTGCTTTCTACATATATCAGTGAACATGTCAGAAGGGAGTTACAGCACATGCTGGAGCTGTAGCACAGACAGGCTCAATGTGGTGCCTAACTCCAGCAGTAGCAGCACCTGGTATGAAGCACCATCCAGCTGCGGACACCTTCACTCTGCCCAAGAAGAACAGTTGTGTCATGTAAATTTTCTTTTTCAGCAGCGGGAGCTTACTGGCTCTCCTATTGCTCTGTCCTTTGATTGCATTAGTATAACTCCAAGAGCTGATATATTTTACTTGCAACCTGACAACAGGCAAAAACTTCTATACTGAACAAAATAAAATGTTTCTTCACACAACAATTCATGCCTGGTCATAAGAGCTGCTGTCTTCCACAAAGCACTTTTGTTCTATCAATTCTGACATCTTCTCATCCCTACATCTACCCTTGTCATCCTGAATTGGCAGGTAGGCACTGAGTAATCAACAGATTCTCATCAGCTTAGTACAAAAAGAACTCTCTATACAGCAATTTAGGTGGAAAAGCAGCAAACTGAATGATTTGTGTGTATAGCTAGGCCTTAACAGGCATTGCAACCCTCAACACAAGTCATCAACCTCAAGCTGGACAACCTCGGCCCATGGAAACCAAACACTGAGTATCTCCCTTCCCTAGGTGATATGAATATGCTCATTTTTTTGTTTGGCGACCAGTCCCCCCGTGCACTAGAGTGTTATACTGGTAGCAAGGAAGAGTGAGTAAGGTTTTTGATAGAGGTGTTTATTCTATGTTAATAAAGAAGAAAGTGATTTTGACAAAAGGTAGAACCACAGTCTGGGTTGTGCTAACAGCAACAGAAGGAGACATTTGCTGTCTCCAGCACTGATGGGGAGAATGAGTTTGGAGGAGGGCACTACACTACAATGAGCTTGTTGAGGGTGATTGACTAGAGAACTGAGTCGATCACACAGTGAAGCTGAACCTCAACAGTCCACCAGGTATACTTCAAAGGATTGCTAAAAAAAAACCAACACAGACATGTCTGTACAAAGTGTGGTAACAAGAATAAACACTAGTGCTAACACAAGCATCCCTTTCCAGTGGCATTTAGGCCTTCAGGCAGGGAAAGGGTTTGTGCTTGCTTGCTTTAAAAGGAAGATTAGCACTAGAGTTTTGAAGTACCACTGACATCAGGCACATAGTTGGTACAGCTGGTCATGGAACACACTGCCTCATGAGTGGAAAAATCTGGAGTACAGTGGAAAGCTCTTAAAGCAGCAGTCCATCAACTACTATGACTGGATACAGCCAGGTAGCTAGGGCTCTTAGAATAACAGAATTGTTAAGTTTGGAAAAGATCTTCAAGACTGTCAAGTCCAACTGATGGTCCAACCTAGCACCATCACCATTAAACCATGTCCTCACTATTAAACCATATCTACAGGATTTTCCAATACTTCAGGGGATGGTGACTCCACAGCTTTACTGAGCAGTTTGTTCCAACGCTTTACAAACCTTTCTGTGAAAAGGTTTCCTAACACACAGCTAAGATAAATCTCCCCTAGCACAACCTGATATCATTTCCTCTTCTCCAGTCACTTGTTACCTGGCAGAGGAGGCTGACCTTCACCTTGCCAAAACCTCCTTTCAGGTAGTTGAGAGAACAATATGGTATCCCCTTGAGCCTCCTTTTCTCCAGACTGAAAGACTCCCACTCCCTCTCATTCCTCAGAGGATTTGTGCTTCAGACCCTTCATGACCTTTGATGCCCTTCTCTCATCTCATCATTCTCTAGCACCTTAGTATTTTTCTTGTCATGAAGGGCCCAAAACTAAACCATGGAATCACAGAATGGTCTAGATTTGAAAGATCATCTAGTTCCAACCCCACTGTGCCATGGATAGGGATATCTTTCACTAGACCAGTTTGCTCAGAACTCCATCCAATCTGGCATTAAACACTTCCAGGGATAGGACATTCACAGCTTCTCTGGACAACCTCTTCCAGGGCTTTACCACCCTCACAGTAAAGAATTTCTTACTAATATCTAATCTAAACCTACTCTTTCAATCTGAAATCATTCCTCCTTGTCCTGTCACTACATGTTCTTGTAAGAAGTCCCCCTCCATCTCGTAGGCTCCCTTCAGATACTGGAAAGCTGCAGTTAGGTCACCCTGAAGCTTTCTCTTTTCCAGGCTGAACAAACCCACCTCTCTCAGCGTTTTCTCAAAGGAGAGACACGCCAGACCTCTATAACAAACTTGGTGGCTTTCTCTAGACTTGCTCCAACAAGCAATTTGGCAGCTCCTAATCCCTGAGCTTGGTGGTGGCAGCATCTAGCACATCAGCTATACGAAAGGTATTTAAAGAATGGCTACATAGGTAAGGCACATCATCTTGAGATGAAGTTGGTTTTGCAACCTCCCTTATCAGCTCTCTGGTCGTTCTTGCAATATCAAAGTATCCTTTGATCTCAACACACTGTCAGAGTAGGAACAAGGCAGACCAGCACAGCAGGTCTCACTGCCTCGAGCAGTGAGATAAGGGACACAGGAGAACTGAGCACACTGACAGATGAAGTGACTGTGGGTAGATGTCATGAAGGGCTTGCTGCACTGGTTCTACAGAGGCTTCTAAAATATGGCAATGTGGATATCATGCTGTTGAAGCACTGCTGCCAAGGGCATCTTCTCTTGGACAACCTGTGGAAGAAATCTACTCTAAGGGCCACTGATCTAAGACTTTGTTCTCACTTCAGACATTCTTTCCAATCATAATAAACTGGTAAGAGTTTAGTCCTCATAAAGGACACTCTGCAGTTTGTAATTCCTCTTATATACTTATAATGTTTTAATGCCAATTCAAGTAATGTAGCTGAAGTAAACTGAGTTATGCACTAGAAAATTTTGTCATGGCTAGCAGTTAATTCACAGTGATTATATAAGATCATGATCTCAGATACCTTGAGAAACAGCTCAGATTTCCAAAGACAGAGAAGAACACAGTCTTACCCATTAGTGAAGATAGAGTGATATGGTGGAGGATTTTCACTTGCAGGCAAAACACTCGACATAAGACAATGTGTCACAGTTGGTGACATAGGGTCAGCAAAATAAGGAGGTGGTGGGGGTGGGAACACCATTACAGCATCACCTAGAATTAAAAACACCAATTACTACCTCTGAAAAACTGAGCATCAGTGGTTATTTTAACAGTACCTTAGAATTTGTACTTGCCTACCTTTTAAGATAGAGTGCAATGATCCCACAGACAGAATTGTTATATTCTAGACTGTTAGAGAACGCCAGAGGTACATTCAAAACTAAAATCATTGAAAAATAAAGATGCAGCATATTCATAAATGAAAGATTTAATTTAGAAAATTAAATTTCTAAAAAAAATTAAATTTCTGGGGAGGGGGACTGTTCCATCTAGCTAAGAGACACAAACACTGTTGTCTGTCTTCAGAAACTAAAAGTGCAAAGCACACAGTTACTGTTGGCTCATTTTAAGGGTAGGCAAGCATTTAGTTTTCCTCACATGTCTAAAATAGGCCAGTCTAAGTTTCTGCACATCTACTGCAGTGCTATAATGAAAGAATTCAAGTCATTAATGGTTCCGATGACTGATTTTGTGCGCCTTGACAGTTTCTCTACTGAATTACTTGCAGATCAAGGAACAATAACCACAACCAGGGCTATTGATACACAGTTTGCTATTAAGTATACTATGCAGCATATCTGTCAATTGCAACTTCAGAATTGAAAAGTTTGAAACTTTTTTTTAAAAAACAAAGTTTGTATCAGTCAGTGAGCTGGCATAATTTACATAAACATTCAAAGCTGCCTGGCACCCTTTCTTCCTTTGTAATTTGTGTGCTGGGACAGTTCAGAGAGCATCAAAATTCTTGATTTGTGAGGTAGGCAGTGTTTTTTAACAAAGTCACCCCTGTTCCAGAACAACACTGTAAATCAGACGTCTACCCTCAGCCTTTCAGTTTTACTTTTCCCAACTGAAGTATAAAAGGAATCCACTAATTTCGCTTTCTTGCCTTAAAAGACAATCTGAATTCCTTCCTACTGCTTTATCCTAGTGGCTGGAAAACTGACTTCAAAGCCTCCTGTTTCCTAAAGGTCACCAGGTTACAGGTCTATAAATAGGCTTGAATTTCATTATGGATTTCAAGTTCAGTCAATCAGATGACAGTCAAGCAATGACTGACTTTTAATTAATCAGTGAGTTTATTACAATAATCAGAGTAATCAGAATTATCAGAACAACCTATACATGGAATGTATTCATCGGGCATCAAACCAGTGCTACATACAGAGTATTATTCTCTGCTAACACACCACATTTGCTCAAATACTGTGCAATTAACTGAGGCATCTTGCAATTATATCTCTGACGGATAGAAGATATGGCCGCAATTTAAAAAAAAATACAATACACTGCTTATGAATCAGATTCTTCTGTTTAAGGGGTCAGAGGCTCAAGGCTAAAAGAAAAATATAGTCACAGAATTCATTAGACCTGTGATCTGCAGTGTCAACTACATCCTTTGAGAAAGGAATTGGGATTGGACTCATTTGTGTCATGTTATGTTGCTTCCTTTACACTGACAGTCAGACCTTCTTTTTTATGCCAAAGAAGGGGTTTTCCTTTGTGAGAAAGGAAAATGAACTGACCATACAGAAAACATACGAGACAAAGAAACATTTTTCTGTTTTGGTTGGCTTGAAATGCCAGAACTGACATGCCTAGAGCTCGAATAAGTAATATTCAGAGATAAATAACTAGTGAGAAAAAATCCCTACTAACTCTCAAATATAAAGTTCCAACATTATTTACCCACCTACTGTAATGTGAAAAGATTCAGGGCTCTGAGGATGTTCTTCACTTTCACAAGATTCGTGGTTGAGATTTAAGTTTTGTTTCTTTTTAACATGAGCTATCACGAAGAAACACAACCCAGTGAGCACAATCAAAGGTCCCATGATTTGAAGTGACAGGAATCCACAGCCCTGGAGGTTCACATCAGAACTGCCGGTGTGGTTGAATTGTATGGTATGCCAGCCAGGGCTGCAACCAGGAACCCAAATTCCCAGGATGCTAATGAGCATTCCACTAGTTAAAAACAGGAATCCAAATATGAGAAACTGGGCAAACTGACAGTTCCCATGGCAAAAAACAAGGCTGTACACCTGCTCATTTTGCAATTGTCTTTGTCTCATATACATCCTGGCCCTTGACCGTGCCAGTAAAACACAAACCAGTCCAGTTACAGCCAGCACTGGTCCAGCAGCCTTAAGGACCTCATTACAGTCACTGAAGGTTCCAGATGGGCATGACTGGAGAATAAAGACTGAAAGCAGAAATCCAGTGCACAGCAATACAGCTCCAAAAACAAAAAGGAAAAAAATAAGTTTCCCATGCTGTCCGTTATTTCCTTCACCTCCTGGTGCAGGAATAGCCACTGGATACATTACAACAGAATCTCTTCAAGCAGATGACTTGTTGGCATTAAATGGCAGCAAACTACAGCAGATCTGTGAACATGAAAATACACAAATCAAAAGAAAAAAAACTCAGCGAGACTAGCTGCATTATATTTTCTCCTTCCAAATTTGCTACTCAGCTTTCATTGTATACTCTCCTGTACTTTCTCTTTTGTAGTACCTCCACTATGGATTACAGGCCTAATCAAGTCTGCTGATGTTAAATGCCAATAAAAAGACTGAACTTGCTTTACAGTTATACTTAAATCAACTGTAATTGCTGTTGCACAGCTAAATGAATTGTTTCTTTAGAGAAACAGTCTTCTGATTAAGGGGACATTATTTTCAAAGGCTGAAAATTTGGAACAAGTACAGGTTAGCTTTCCCCTTGAAAACAGAAAGCTACAGGAAACTTCTGTGACCAGCAGGGAGTGACAGCTTTTGAGAGACAGTATCCTACTGCAAATAAGCAATGACTATTGGACTTTTTAACCAAGCATAATACATACATACCTTTTCAAAGCACATAAGTCTTGCTTCTCCTTCTACAAGCAATAAAGTCCTTTCTGTTTCTCTTCTTAAATAAGCTTCCTGTCCTATACAGTTGCAAAAGTAAGCATAGAGAAGATTTTTCATTCTGTTCTGAAATGACCAAAAAACCACCAAACCCCAAACCCTCCACATTATAAATACCACACAGTTCAACTCTCACTGATTCCATAGTTAGAGTTAGTAAGCATAGTGCTCCTACACTTCAACTTCCCCTGCTTCTGAATCCTTTGTCTGTGTTCCAAAAATCTTTACAAAGAAATCAACAAAGGCAGCTTGCAGAAGGCTTGTGAGCCCACAAGAGTCTAGATTCAGAAGTAAAGTAGAAGAAAATAGAAAATAGTGTTGAGGCCAACAACAGCCCATATGGTACTATGGATAACAAATCTGCTGGATGTGGGTAAACTGCAGCTGGGAAAGCCTGACTGAAAGTTAGAAGAGAGTTCCATTCAGTGAGCTCTAGGAAAAAAGACAAAAATTCTGCCATTACTGACAAGGAAGTTTGTGCTGCTCTGACACACTGGACTACAGGGCTCAGATGAACATCTGTACTCACCTCCATGGTGAATAGCAACCACGGAGATCTTGGATACCATCCATCAAAAGCCAACCTGAAACACAGGGGAAGTTCAGACTACAGAAAAGAAAAGTCTCATGGATAAACCATGAAAAAAGCCATTCCATATACCAAGTGTAGGAAGTAAGCATGCTCATGCTGCACTGTTTTACCACTGCCCTCTTCCCCTTACTAGCAGTCTCCTGTGACAGAGAATTTCACCTATGAATTAGATATATGAGGAAGGATATATATAGGGACTGGTGAAGTTTGTCACAGATGGAAGCAGGAAATTGACTTAATTACTGCTGTTTGTTAGTTAACCTTCAGCCTTTTCTCTACCAGCTTCCACTGCCCTGCTACTAATTCAGATGACTGGAAGCTAAAAAAAGTCCAATTAGATTGGATCCTTCGCACATATGCCTCACCAACAGTTATTCCACAAGAAAAACAAAGTATCATGAGATTTCTGGAAGCAAACTGTTGAAAGTGCGTCAGCCACAACATGCTTTGTGTCACTCCCCAGTAACTGCAGCGCCCCATTGGGATGAAAACAAAACACAACCATAAAACCCCCTAGTCACTCAAATACATAATTAGTTATCTGCAATGCAAGAAAATCTATTCAGTCACTACTTAGCCACTTGTAAGAGCAGAATCCAAATAAACAATTGGCTGAGCAGACGCACGAATGATGAAGTTACAAGGGGTTTTAGTGTTAAACACCAAACGAGGTCCACCAACAGCAGAGGAGAAGGCAGAGCATATCACACAGGTAAAAGGTACAGTAAGCACAAGACTTGACAGGTAAGGAAACACAGCAAGAAGGCCACTCCAGGAAGCAACAAAATCTCCTATCTGGCTATCTTGAATAGTAAAACTGAAGGACCTCCCCTTAATGTGCTCCATTACTGTGATCAGTTAATTTGTAAACTATGTCTGCAAAGTGTTTCTTCAAGGTTCTGAATTCAGTCTAGCCCTCTACTAAGACTGATCTGAAAAACTGCTAACTGAGGCTCCCTTGGTAGAAGAGTCAGATTCACACTGGGGAAAAAAACTGGTTATAAAGAGCACTAAAGATAGGACAGCTTGTCACAAAAAAAAAAAAAGAAACTACAGAAATTCTGATTGATTTCAAACGGAAGATCTTTACCTTAGCACACTTTCAATACTGCATGAGCTACAGTCAGTCTGAAGGCTCTTCTGAGCAGAGAAAATGGATTGGGTTGGTCACCCTTCCTTGATTACAGTGGTCTTTCCTAAGTTAATAAAACTGTTTCTGATAACTGCATATGCTCCTTCCTGTCTAGAAATTTTCCCTATTCTCATAAATTATCCGAGGAGCCTGAGATTTACTGACTTACCAACAAATACACAAAACTGACTAAAGGGCCTCTGAAACACATACAGACAAAAAAACACCACCAAAAAAAAAAATCCCAACAAAACCCAGTTCCAGACACAACTGTCTCGAGATATTTTTCTGTTGAGGCACATTAACCATTATAACAACAACACATTATAATTAGACAGAACTCTAAAGCCTTTCTTTGCAGTTCCCTCTAGGGAAGAAAACACGGACATAAGTACAAGTAAATTAGGACAAAAGAAAAAAATGTGAAGGGGGGAAGAAGAAGTAAATACAAATGTATAGCCCTTAAAAAGAAAAATCTTGAGATTTGTTCTTGTTACTCCAGCACAGCGCCTGCTTCTCTTTCACCAATCTTGTTGTTATGAGATTAAGTTAAAACACACATTAGAAATTAAGCTTGTGCATATTTTTTCAATTCTTTCAGGCCACAAAAGAAGGAACATTTAGAACAGTCTGTTGTGGCTTTGAAGATGAAAGCCACAGATTTTGTGCTGCAAAATCCAAGAGAGGACTAATTTTCATTTACACTATCATGAAATTTAAACAGAAAACCCCCCAAAAGATTAAGCTTTATTTCTTGTGTTTCAATAAAAAGTATCTTAACAAAGAAGTAAGCCTTAAATTGACTGTGTGCTTGAAATATTTCCACTAGATCCGATATCCCCACAGGCATATTGATATAGGGGAATTTACCCTATGGGGAAAAGGGAATTGGAAACATAGCTGGTAATGGAAGTCTGGTTATAAGCTTAACTTAAATTATATAGTGCTTTACCTTTTTCTAAGTCAGGTCCATGCCAGGTATATGGAACAGGAAATAACATCACAACTTCTTACCACTTCTGTGTGTAACAGTTGTATTACAACTTTCACATTATGGACAACTTCAAGAATTTGAAAACATTTCTAATACAATTCTTCTTCAGCCTTCAGAGGACAAAAGAGTCCTATTGTCCAAGATTTCCACTGCAAACAGCAGGGCTATAAATTTACTTTCCTCTTACTCATATGAAATTTGATAGCCTCATGCAGACATTTTGAATTCAGGAACACAGAATTAAAAAGAAAAAAAAAAAGCATTGGAAGAATTACAACACTGCTAACCCTCTGTTTTATGATTCCCAGACTAGCCCCAGTTCTCCCTCTTTTTGCTTGCAAAAGCACACAAATACTTTCATGCAGAAGGATCAGGTATAGTCTGTATTGCTACTTCAAAAACTATAATACCCTGTCAGCTGTAGACCACAATGGAAATCCCAGTAGAATTTTCAAGCCATCCTTTTCAAGGACTTCAAGTTTTCCACTTTTTCCAAAGTTTGAACTGCTATTGGGAAGTTGCCACTGCGTAATTATTTTTTGTCATGTCTTCTTTTATTTTTCTTCCCAGGTTTCAAATTAAATCACAATTCCTTAGAGGTCAAGCTACCTGTAAGGAAAAATTCTCTAGACTTCATTCAGTTTAACTTCCATGTCAAAACATGAATGGCTCCCTACTTCTTCTCATTCCCTGTGCCTAATTTCCTTCTTTGTTCTCATCTGCCTCCGTACCCACATAATTTTCTGTTCTTTACACACACAGAGTTTCCCCCTGGACTAGACTCTTAACCTGACATTCAGCAGAGACACCCAGCAATGAGTACAGCTGATTAAACTAAATTGGAATGTGCAACCTTCATCCCCACACTTCTCCCTCCCCATGGAGGAACTTATTTGAAGAACTAGGGGGAGATGCCCAAAGGATGTACTTTCAGTTTTCTACTTTCAAGCAACATTAAGACTACATACTCTAACAAGTTCTGAGATGTCAAATACATCCAATTTGATCTCTTATATATGCAGTCTCTAATCAGTGCTTAACAATGCTCTTACGTCACAGAATATAGAACTCTGATATCTTAGGAGGAAGATTCCAAGATTTAGACACTGTGCGTAAAGATTACTAAGGAGGGAAACTCTGCCCATCCAGGTTGATAAAATCATTGTTTCAGCTCACAGTATAGGAAGGGTAATGCTGTGCTATGATTTATGACTTGCAGGTGGGGCAAGAGTCAGTGCCTAGAGAAGTGCTAGAAAACAGCTGCAGTAGGAAATTCCAGAAAGTGGGATCCTGCCAGTCTCCAGACACATGTGCCCCAGGGATCCAGGGATCTTCTCACCAGCATTGTCAGGGATTCTGATCTGTGCTAGACAGAACTGCATTCTGCAAAGCTGTCAACTCCTGTCTCTTTGGCCTTCAAGAGAAAAGCAGCTACAGTAAAAGCTGATCCACATATGTTCCTCACTCACTGCATCAGGGAAGAATACTGATGCCACAGTTGGATGCAAGGATCCCAAACAGTGAGGAGCTTGCAAAACAAAGCTTGGTAACCTGTTGGTTGGATGCCATGCAGGCAACTAGGACAGCACCTAGATTCAAAAATTAGCTCTGAACGGTTCAATGCTTGTGGGTGGGATGCTTTTTACGTGACACACTAGTGGCACACAAGAGCCATGGCAAAACATCTCCTATTTTCTAGAGTACCTGCAGGGAGACTGGGGAGAAGGTAGACACAGTTAGAGCCAGAGCTGACATTTTTCAAACAGGTAACACAAGACAGATCAGTTATGGGAATTCTATCCCATAGGGCTGATGTACCTCAAAGCAGCAAGAGGCACAAGACAAAGAGACTTACAGATCTTTGATGCACAGGACAGACCATGGAGACCATCAGGGAGATGTAGGGCTCCAAAAGCTACCTGAAGCCATCCTGTCCCAGCTTCTTGAGGCTGGCCTGGGGCATTAAGCCACAGACAACTTAATGGACAAGCAAGTAAACTCTACTCCATCTAGGAAAGGCAGCATTCCATGGCACACCCCTCCTCATCCACCAGTCATCCTCATCCATCAGGCACGCCCTATTCTAAGTCAATCGGTGTTTTAAGACACGCTAAGGTCTTCAACAGGATGGACTATGTCCCGAAAGCTCCCGTGCATCATTCTGGAGCAAGGAGTGGGACAGGGCAGCCTGTCCACCACCTCTCCGCGAGGGAGCGGCATCCGAGCCTCCTCACCTGCGCACTCCCAGTCGTATGCCAGCATCAGTCACGAGAATACTGTGTGTCAGCAGAATAGCCGAAGAGACCCCTTCAGAGATATTCCATCCTCTCACAGAGATGGCGTAAAGCTCACTGTGGAAGCAGTATGGGGAGCCGTGGGCTCTCCAGGAAGAAGACAGGACACTTACGCTCCTGATAATTCAGACGCCGGTCGGGGGCAGCTCCGCTCGCACCCTGCAGGAGAGTGAAAACACGGGCATGGTGGCGGCTGGGAGACGCGGCACGACCCCGCTCGCCCGCCCGCAGCCCCCCGCTCGGCAGATGGAAGAACGGGCCGCCCCGGCGGCGCCCGCCCCGCGCCCCTCTCACCGCGCTCCCGGCTGCTCCACACCGGGACGGACCGTCTCCCAAGCACCCCGGAAACTCGGGCTGTCCCCAGCGCCCCGCATTGGCGGCCACAAAGCCGCAGGGCCCCCTGACGGCCTCCCGGCGCGCGGGCAAAAAGGCGGGAGCCCTGCGACGAGGCCCCTGCCCCGCCCCCTCCTACTTCCCCGGCGCGAAGGCACCGCGGCAGCGCAAGCCGGCGCCGCTAATTTAAGCCACCTGCGCCCCCGGCAGCGCGGGGTCGGGCCGGCCCAGCCCCCCGGCAGCGGGGCGGCGCAGCAGCACCTGCCTCCCTGTTGCCCGCAGCGCCCGTCCCCGGCGGCGGCCCGGCCCCGGCCGGCCCGGAGGGATGGCGGGATTCCCTCCCAGCGGGCGGCGAGCCGGCCCCGGGGCGGTGCGGGTGTGTGCGCTGCCCGGCTGCGACATCGCCGGGGTGATGTGCAGGAGCACGGGTGCAGGTCGCAGGGCAGGCCTGCGGCAGGCACCGCTAGAGTCTTGTGTACGTAGAAAGGTCTAGGGTGCCCATGAAATACTGTGGCTTCGAGGTAAGGTAGGTGAGCAGCCCTCTGAGGGAGGTAGTGCCACGCCTCCGACTTCAGGAGCCCTTCTTTTTGTCGTCACTTTAGACTTACCAATGTTTGCCTTACTTCCGCACACTTGGGAACTTGCTAGGCATTAAAGACAGGCAGAGCCTAGATATGACAGTTTTCTTTCAGTGTAGCCACTGGAAACGGGAGAAGATTCCTTCTTGCTAGATATAGGCAGCATGGAGGAAGAAGCTGGCTCAACTTTTGGAAGCTGAGACAGAGACCTGTGACATGTAATAAGCAGCTGTGTGAGAGGACAAGGAGCCAGGGAAGAAAGATCAGGATGTGCCACTTGTAAGTGGTGTAGCAGTGGTAGGACACTGGGTGAACGACACGGGGACTAAATCTTGCCCAGCTGGTTAGTGGCAGCCTGGTAGTCAGTGAGGTGTGGGGAAAATAGTTTGAGTTTATGCAAGTCAAAACAAGATGAGCCAGAACAGGGATAGAGTGATGCCCAGAAAATAGATGTCAGAAGGAAAGGAGAGTGGATTAAAGTCTTGCTTGACAGGGAGATAGTTTGGCTACATGGTAAGATTGGGAGGAAATAGTACATATAGGTTTTTGAAGGTGATCTGGATTTGGGTAGAGAACTAGGCAGAACTTGAAATTGAATTGATAACCAAGGAGCATATAAAAATATACATTGGGTGTAGGAAGGAACTTGTAATGGAGTAGAAGACTTCAAGCTTTCCAGAGCTGTATGTTCCTGAGTGTTAGTGACCCTTTGCTGTCTCAACTGTTTTATGTCCCGACTCAGATACCACCGACTGGAAGGTGACTTCAGTTATGAAACACTTCTGATACTGCTGTGAAGGGTCTCATGGTAAGGAGAGACTGGGAAGTAACAATTCTTGTGTTCTGTAGTGAGGAAAATATTTCAATGAAAAAAACCCCAGAGCATTTAAAAAAAAACCCAAAGAGAATGAAAGAAGATCAGCGCTGCTTGTTAGAAACACAAGATGAAGATTAATTGTTGCAAAGAGTGAAAGAGCATCAGAATGTTGAATCAGACTATTTTATGATGTCTGACAACAGTGACATAAGGAGATTTACTTACATTTATATGTCAGTTTCCTAATACCTGACTCTGGTTCTCTTGTTTTTCCAATATAGAGCTTAAATAATTAATAAAAACATTTCAGTATGAAGTACTTTGTCAGGCCAAACTTCCTTCAGTTGTCTGATACTTTTAAACTATTGCTGCTGTGATATATGTTCCGTCTCTTTTGCTGTTATATAAACAGTTTTTTCATTTTATGTAAATACTTCTTGTACCAAATCTAACATGTCAAGAATTTCAATTTAAAAACAACAACAAAGCAAAACCAAAACCAAAAAAGGTCACTCTTAACAAAAGTTAACAAGCTTGTTGGCTAGTATCTACCCAAAAATGATTTCTCTCTCCAAAGCTTGTCATCAGCCTTTCCCCTCCATCCACCAGTTGGGTTTCTTGTAGTGTTGGGCTTATGGATTTGATCCCCATGATGAAAGAAGGGATTTCAGGGACATCAGTCTTCAGTTCTTGAGATTCTGACTCAGCCTGGTATTAGTTCTGAGTGGATTAAGGGGCTGTTGATTCCTGTCATGGGACTGCAGTTACAAAAGTGAAATCTTGAGCCATATCCTGTGATTTGACAGGAATTATTTTTTAACTATATTTTTTTTTTAACTTTTAACACAGTAACTGTTTAAGTACAGATAATGAGTATTTTAATTCCGAAGTGTAAGTGGTAATATTTGGCAAAAATGGAACCACATTATGTTTTGCAATACAGAAAAATACTAAGAGAGTTGTTTGTGTTAAGTCTGGACAGCATTGTATAACAATAGTTTTTGGATGCTAGTGGTAGTAGAGAAAATTAAGTATTTTTGACTGGCATGGAACACAATCCTACAGCTATGGAAAAGTGCAGTACATTCATAGCTGGAGTATGACAGAGAATCCAGAACTACCAGAAAATCATTGCTTTTGAAATTATTTCTGGGGTCGCAGTCAGTAACACTTGTGAAGACACTGACAAGAAGAATAGCATTTGGGATGATGAGCAGAGAAATACAGTGGTTGATGATTTATTGACTGGAAATCAGTTGAGGCTATTCTGATGGAAGCCACTACTTAAGGCAATAATCCGATGAAATATAAATGGAAATTACTAACTTCTCATTCCTCTTTTTTTTTTAATTGAGCAAACATGCTTATAAATGTTTGAACTGTTTGAATTGTTTGACTAAAGATGATGCTCTCTACAAATGAGGGCACAAGTGCAGTAACTAAGACTAAATACTGGTCACTTCTAGATTAAGATTCCACTGTGCAGAAGAGATGTTAATCTGTTGTGAGCAATATGAGATGTGTCAATAAAACCACAGCTGTTGAAATTAGACGTGCGAAATACTGGATGTGCAGAGATTGTGCTTTAGTTCAAAACATTAAGCATGATCTGCAGAACCTTTTCAGATGCTTGAAAACAAAGCAAGAAAATTCAGGCTGTCCTAAAGTGTCCTGGTGAAAATGTAACTACTAAAGAAATACCTAGTGTTTTTAATTTACAGCACACTTTGAAGCTTTGTAAAACATCTCTGAGTCAAGGCAGATGCTACTTGCTTTGTTTCAGTCACAGCTAACCTCTTCTTAGTATGCTTTGAAGCAAGAGCACATGGAATAAATGCATAGTAAATTTTAACTTATAAATTGCTACTTGCTTGCTGTGACGGTGTGGACCAAATGAGATGATGATGCCCAAGTCCAGAGTGACCCAGTCCTCCAGCTCCCATTAAGTTCTGTACAGCCAGTTCACAGCAAACAGTCAGTGTGCATAGGAACTGCAAAGCTCAGTTGAATAGCTAAGAACTGTGTGTTTTGCTTTATTTAGGTTCTGGTAGAGTCGAAAGACTTATACTTAGAAATACAAGGATATAAAATGTTTGTTTTATTAGGATTGTCAATAGTCAGAAGTGACAAAAGCATTGCTGTCAACATTCAGTAAGCTTTGGACCAAACTTAATTAACCCTGAAATAGTTCTCTGCAGTTTGGCAAATAGCTACAAAAGAATCACAGAAAAGAGTATCATGCTGACTATACTGGAAGGGAGGGTGAATGAGGTACTGGCACCCTCCCCACAAAACAGCAGCCAGCTGAGTCTGTGGCACTGTGCTCATGCACCATACCCTAGTGACCTGTGAAGATCCCTCCTCCAGGAGGAACTGAGAAAGACCCAGTAAGAAGACCAAGCTGACTGTTCTCTTCAGAGCCTGGGCATGCTAGTGGTGTTCATGACCTGGCTGATGGTCACTGTCTCCTCTTCCTAAATCTTATTTCCCACCCTTCCTGCTCCATCCTTTTAAAAAGTGTCTGAATGGAACAGTCTTATTCAATATGTCTGTTAGTAAATCATGGAATCACAGAATTGGAATGGTTTGGCTTGGAAGGAACATTTAAAGGTCATCTAGTTCAACCCCCCTGCAATAAGCAGGGTCTTCTCCAGTTAGATGAGATTGCTCAGAGCCCTGTCCCATCTGATTGTGAACGCTTCCAGGAATGGGGCACCTACCACCCAACTGGGCAAGCTGTTCCAGTGCTGCACCACCATCATCATAAAAAATCTCTTCCTTATATGTACTCTGAATATACCCTCAATTCAGTTTAAAACCTTTATCCTATTGCAATAGACCCTGATTGAAGGTCTATACTCATCTTTCTTATAAGCCCCCTGTAAGTATCAAAAGGAAGTGAGAGACAAGTGATTAAAAATTAATGAAATTCAAAGAGGTTATTCATTAACCATCATAAAAATCAAATAGCTTTGTTTTGGCCAGGAGAGGTAGATCCATATCTCAAATCTGCATCTTAATTTTTTGGATTTGCTTATTCTGCTTGCATTTGACTTTTAAGAGAAAGGCATGACAGCTATTTCAGCTGGTGGCACTGGTAATGCATAACCTGTTGCACTGCACTGTGATGGCACTGGGACGAGGAAATGAGGATAAGCCCTGTGAGTGCTCTTACATGCTACATCCATCAGAATAGGGCAGAAAACCCTTCCCTGCTGAAGGCTGTGCTGCTTCTTGCAGTCAGAAATTTAATCATGCAGAAAGGCAGCTTTGTTGTGCTGAAGAAGGAAGCAAAGAGGGATGCAAAGCTCTTCTACTACTTCTCATCCAGTGCATGCAGAGATCCAGTCTGGACTTGAGGAAATATTTCCCCACCTC